CGGCTGTAAGCCTTCTACACCAAACCAAGCTTCTGCCGCCCTGGCGTCCTCTTCCACAACAACTCCATCCCCGCTTTCCTCCTCTAAATAAAAATGTATGACGGAGGAGACTCATCCACGACCTCCGACACTAAACTCTCCTCCTCTTGCATGTTTCTGCTGTCGTTTCTAAGTCACCAATTTAGTGCTACTTGGTCCCAATGTTATTTCCCATTGGGAACCTACTAGCACTAAGTTGCTAACTGGTTAGCAAGATGCTTCAGAGAAACCGGTCAAAATCAGACTTGCCTGCGAACCTTCTGCCACAACAATCCCGCCCCTTTGATAAACGACCAATCAAATTCACTTTATTCACTCGTAAGAATTCAGAAATGCAACGGTTGGAACAGCCGCTTCCCTACGACTTTAACTTTTATTTCCATAAGATCATCACTAACTTTCAGCAAAGCATCAAATTAATCTTTATTTAGCCGTATTAAACTTGCCTTTATGTTTACTTTTTTTTAGCCATATTTGTGTTTGTTATGCTCAAAGTTTTGTTGAATAAAATAGATTTTTAAAACAATATATTTCTAATCTTTATTAAATATAACAATATATTTAAGCACCCATATCCTTGGGGCCTGACGGTGAGCTATCAGGTTGTTATGTTTCATAGCTTGGTTGGTAAATGATCTTGCACAGTGAACTTTAATATGTTCCTGATCAGGTTCTTTTTAATTTTACATCCAGCTAAAAATGTAGCATCTGCAGATCCCAGTTTGTCTCTCCGTTCACTGACTTGCTTTGTTTTGGAAACAGGAGAAGATCTTCAAGCTGTATGAGAGGAGAATCCACGGAGACTTTGACACAAACAGCCACATTCAGAAAAAAAAGGAGTTTAGAAACCCGAGGTATGCAGCTCGGCTGAAGAGCACATGCCAGCGAGGCACACGCCCTCACACTTCATATCAGATGCACTTGTTTTGCACATTAAGTTAATTAGCAGAACCCTAAACCCACTTCTCTGCTTTTCTTTCAGTATTTACGAAAAGCTCATTCAGTTCTGTGGAATTGATGAACTGGGGACCAACTACCCCAAAGACATGTTTGATCCACATGGCTGGTCAGAAGACTCCTATTATGAGGCTCTGGGTAAGATGCCGCCCACCATCTTCTTCTGTGTTTGTTCCCACTAAAGCTGACGGCTTGTTTTCTCCTTCCAGCCAAAGCTCAGAAAGTGGAGATGGACAAGTTGGAGAAGGCCAAGAAGGAGCGAACTAAGGTGAGGTTACCAAAGAAAGGAGGAGGAGAAATGCGCTGTCAGGGGCAAGTCTCCACCAGCTGCTCTTCATTTTTACTTAACGATCTTCCTCTGAAGCACACCACTCACTTTTGCCAATTTGAGCTGTCATAACAGCCCAACCCTGCACAGGTCTGCAGCTTGGCTGTACTCTCTAAGATCTTTATTTTTTCTTGGTGATGTTGTTGGAGTAGAACCTTCCTGTAAGTGATGAGTGGAGGCAGTGGATGGGTATGGTTTCTGTTGAAAAGTGCTGCAGAATCATCAATAAATGTTCAAACAAGTTTAAACTTCCAGCCAAGGGAGGAATGACTCCACCTAAGGTGGAAAAAATGGCTTTGAAAGGGAGTTTCTAGAGAAGTAAGAATACAGAGGAACCTGTGGATTTGATGAAATGTGTGATCTAAGCCCTCCAGACACTTTAGGCCTGAACACACCGGCTACGTACGACTTTTTAATCTACAATCCGATTTTTTTCCATGTCACACTGACTGTGTATAGAGAGACTACGACTAGGCAGGGTGAGCAGATCTGCAATTGTTTTTTTCCACTTATGTCCTTGTGCTATACACAATAAAAAAAAAATTCCCACATTTGACTTGGCCAGATGATGAAAAGTTATTATTAGAATTATTATTAGAACAGATAAAAAGTATATGAAAAAAATAATGAGATTTACATCTAAAGAAAAAACCAAAACAGCAATAAACGCTGTGGGACGGTTTCTATGCTGACTGGGGTAGAGGTGATTCTCAAAGAGAGATCTGGAAAGTTGAGTTTTTTTTTTCTTTTTTTCATAAAGAGGTGAGCAATACGCCGCGCTTACCTGCTCTGTCTGCCCCTCGTTATTTTGTTTTTTGTGAGGCTTAGTTTTTTCTCCTGAAGTTTTTTTTTTTTTTTTTTGGATAAATTTAGCTTGTTTTTGTGAGGCTGAAGGAGAATAACTACTTTATCCCTTTTCTGTCCTCCTGAACTCCTATCATGGGTAAAGTATTGGGTTTTTAATGTTTCATTGATTGTTTTTGCACGAGTCTGTCCTGCTTGCTGTGTATCTCTGTGTGACTCCAAATGGACTCTTTCCCAGTGCGATTAGATTTTATTTTGTATTTTCCGCCAAAGCGGATGTGTTTTACCTTGTAACCGCATCTTCCGGTCAGATCCATGAAATTGCTGCTGAATTGCTGTAGTCCGACTAAAATGGATCTGGGGTCTATCGCAGTCTAATCTACACAAGTCCGTCACATAAAATCGTGTCAAGTGTGATCAACCCCATTGACTGTCAATGAGCGCTAAAAGCCAGGACCTCGTCTGACACGATTATTTTGTCAGATCAGACGCAAAATCAGATTTGATGTGTTCTGACCTTAAGCCTGAGCTTCTTTTCTGTTTTTCTTTTCTCTAGATCGAGTTCGTCACAGGAACTAAGAAAGGCACCAACGCCTCCAGCACATCCGCCTCCACGACCAGCAGCAGTAGCACCACCACAGCCACCGGTAAGGATCGCTGCTGCAACCTCACCAAAGATGGTTTCATTTTTGATGCCTGTACAAGTTTAGTTCTGATGCGCAGCTGAAGCATTGTTACCGGTAATATTTGCTGTGATCGGGTAAAAAGTAGTTTTAATATGATTTCAGTGAGGAAATCTACCTTAAAACTTCATCTGTGCAGTCAGTTCTTCCAGATTACCATCCTGCTTTCAAATATTATTTCGCTGTCAGAGCAGCTCAGACCCCCACATACCGGTGGTGCGCTGTCACTAGTAGTCCCATTCAACAGCAGCCTCTGGCCCGTTCATCTCTTCACGGTTTTCCGCGGCAGCTGAAAGGCGTTTTTCATATATGTAATCTAAACTGCAGGCACATGGATAATAAAGTGAACTTGTTTTGCCGGTAGATTTCTGCATTTTAAGTTAATTTAGGCGTTAATAAACTGATTCAGAGGAGTGATCATAGCGATCTGCATCAGCAGTTGTTTGTGTCCCTGCCAGCTCCCAGATCAGCTTCTCTGATTGGTTGATGTGGTGCGTCGAGCAGCAAAAGTTCAATGTTTTCCAACTCGAGCAGCAGCTGCTTTTGCAGCGTGTCCCGCGCGTCAGATGCTCAGAAGTTCACGACGCACTGCTTCAGCTGCTCCAAACGCGCTGCAGGACATTTTGCTATGCCTTGATATGCGTCAACCATTGACTATGCATGTAAACTATCTGCCCCTGCTGCCTTTGCTGCTTTAGTTGTGAACGTAGCATTACTGTCACAATGCGATACTAACGTACCTAATGAGCAGTTTCCAACTATTTCAAAGCCTTTTTTAAAAACCCAAGAGTAATTTCTATTGTTCAGTCTGTTATTAGTCCAAATCATAAGCTGTTTCTAGACGTTTTATTTGTGAATGTTTCAACATTAGGATCAGATGCAAAATCTGCGCCGGACTGGAGTTGTGACAGGCAGCCCGGGCCACAGCCGGCTACGCTCTACCCCTTCTATTCATTCGGCTAGATAATCTGAATTGTTCAATTCCATCTGGAGAGCGAGATCATCTGTGGTAGCAGCACTAGACATCTTCCAGGCATGTGAGGAAAACTAGCAGCAGTTCAGCGGACAGGATGAAGGAATGGTAGCCGGCGCGCGCGAATGACGTCATACACACACCGCTTTGGTTTTAAAAAATATAAATATAAAAAATATTACCGCGGATGTCTGGGGGACAGTGATTTGCCTACATGTTATGAAAGCTGGGGTACCATAAAGAACAAATTATGAACAGTTTAGTTTGTGCCTTCAAGTCGTTGCCCATAGGAAGACGTTACTTGGATATAACCTAACGGAATATCTTCAGAAGAGCTCCAAATGACACAAAACTCATATGGGTGAGTAGAACATGATGTAATAACCTAAAATCAAGGTCCCAGCGTAAAAATACGGCGTTCCCCTTTAATAACATGTACATGAATAAAAACACTTCCTGCTTTAAGGGCGCCACCACCGATGCATCCCCGTACAGAGGTTTTCTGTCCTGTTGGCATGACAGCGAAGAGGGAATTGTTCTCAAACCGAGGCTTTAATGAAAAACCAAATAGATTTTGAGCACACAAGACATTGCTTAAACTTTTTGACCCTCAAGACAGTTTAACAAGTTTCCTCCTCAAACCCATTTCAGTTCTGGCTCGGAGCTTATTCTGCCATCTCCTATTCTGTGTTTTATCTCCTCAGCAGACGCCCAGAAGAGGAAAAGCAAGTGGGACTCGGCCATCCCCGTCACCCTGGCTCAGCCCACCCTCATCACCACTACAGCGACGCTCCCTGCAGTCGTGTCGGTGACCACCACAGCTAGCGGCACAAAGACCACGGTCATCTCTGCAGTGGGAACCATCTTAAAGAAAGCAAAGCAGTGAACTATTGGACTTTAGGAGCAGAGCTTCTGCTGAGCAAGGACTAACCCAAATCATCACCAAGCCAAAGTCTAGTGGTGACATCTCTATATCTGATGCACAGTTTGTCAAAAGATGTTTTTATATGAGGGATACAGCTGATTATTTAATACCACTTAAAGTCCTAAACAGACTGGTTGAAATATCTAAAAGTGTTTTTTTTCTCGATTGTTGTAGTTAAATGTCGTCAGGCTTTCTCTGTCTGCAAACATTTTCTTTTTTGTGACATAGTGAACGTTTTTCAGGTATCCTGTATTTTTTACACTTCTACATACGCATTGTTTGTAAGGAAATAAATGAGTCGGATGCAACTTTTTAATTTGAATTTCTTTCTATGCGATGTTCCTGATAAAAGTTGTACAGTTTTACTGTCTGCAGGGAATAGGAGGCCATGTTTAAACAGGAAGCGACTCTTCTTTTTTACCTCTTATTTTGAACACAAACCTGAATCTAGTCGTTGGACTGCTGGATTTAAAGCCAGGTGGAGTGTTTGTTACCTAGCTTTATGTTTACACTCATTTTATTACATCAATTCAGATTTAGAGCTTGTGATTTTATTTAGAATGTGTTTTCCTTAGAAACTGGAACTCTGGATGTCTTACAAGATTAAATTCCATTTAAAGTCGGAAAGTCTGCCTCAGGTGATCCAAATCCCGGATGAGATCGTAGCCTGGCTGAATCATTAATGCGCATCAGCTGAATCATACACACCTTTGGCTACAAGCTGTGACAGAAGCCATCCATTTGGTTCAGGGCATGAGTGAATGTTTGCGCTCTGCTTGTACCGTAACGTGTTTTTGCAGAGTCTGGAATGCAGTACTGTCAAAAAATTACAAAAAAAAAACCTAAATCTCCATCTCGCAGCAGTCAGGTACTCTTTGCTCTGGTGGTTTAGGTGTTATCACATGTCTTGCTCTGGATAAATCCCCGCCGTGCTAAAGTAAAGGCGAAACATAAAACGTAAAGGTGAAATATGAGTTTATATGAGTTTTTTTCTTATTTTAAATGAAAATTATCTTATTCTGTTGGTAAATTGTGTCACTTAGCTTGATCAAATCAAAGGAAAACAGGATTACGTTCTGGACCCACATTTGTAAGGATTTCTGATAATGCTGAAGAAGGTCTGGAAACAAGATAAATCTACTATAAAGTCAAAAATGGTAATAATTATAGAACATGATGCAACTCTGAGATCTCAATGAGATCACATTATTTTGTGATGTTGCTTTCAATGAGTGCAGCAAGCTAAAGTTTAATATCGACAGCGGAATCTGTTTTTGTTTTGTACATGAATAAATGAAAAAGTACATGTAGGAACAAGATATAAAATAACCTCTGCTTTCCTGCTAGAAAACACCAATGAACAAGCCTCATCATGCAGCAGCACACGGCCAAATAAAGACGGAGAAAATGGAGAGCGATGTTCACGCCGTTATCTGAGGATGCAGAGAATACAGCTGGTTGAAATTTACCAGGGTGGATAATGAAAAGAAAAACAAAACAGCAAAAATAGCACATTGTTTAGTATATTAGGTGTGCTAAGAGTTGCAAACCCCTGATCTAACCAATGAAAACTGTGATGCTGTCATAGTAAGAATAAAGCAGACTAATTTATAAATAATATATGTAAAATTTAAAGGCGAAATATGGTTCAAATTAACAAATCACATATGGTCTGTTATGTCAGCATGTAAGAATTTGATTTAGTATAATGCTGCAAAAACTGATCTAAGAAAATAAACAATTCAAAATAAGTTTATCCCTAATTTAGGCAGATAATAATGATGGTCGGTCAATGGCATTAGTAGTTTTGTTTTTAAAAATAGGATCATTGGATATTATGCACTTTAAAAAAGTTTTTTCTTATTTTAAATTAAAATAATCTTATTCTGTTGGCAAATTGTCTCACTTAGCTTGATCAAATCAAAGGGAAATAAACTTATTTACAGAACAATTGATTCAGAATAAATTTTTTGCACTGCATGTTTTAAGCATGTTGTCTGTAACAGGGTTATGTTTGAGGTTTGATGGACACTGCAGAAAATTATAGAAGCCTGATAAGGATACCTAACCAGGCTCAGTGTGAGCGGCCATCTGCCGAGGCCGACTGGGGTTCAAGGAGACAGAAGCAGAGATACAAAAGGTAACTGTCAACCAGCTCCACAGGCGGCCCCATCCAGGAAACACACAGCCAGGAAGACGACCACATCCAGTTAGTCACAGTCAGAGAAACAGGACTACACTAAAAAACTGGCCAATCTCGAACATCTTTAACAGAAGTCACGGATTAACGGACCGCGGTATGGATCCAGAACCACCTACTGGCTAATCCGGACCCAACCTGATTTAAAACAAGTACAGCATGTTCTCCGTCTACAGTGTCTAACTTCACTTGCGCCACTTCTCCTGTCAATATGGTAAAGAGCGTCCGGGACCAGGCTACACGTGATACACATTAGCCAATGAGCTGCTGTCAGTCTGGGTTGCTGCTGCTGCT